ATGCAAGTATGCATCATATCTAGACCCAAGAGTTAACTTTTTTATAGCATTGTAATTTCAGCCTTTGTTATAGCTTGCAGAAGCATAAGTATGAACCATCTCTAGTCAATATGGAAAGAACTGTGACAATGCAAAAGAAAATGCCTCAGCCAATTAAAAAATGTTAAGTCACGTGCAATTTTACAAATATAATGAGATCCCACTGCTTAAATTCATGCACAGTGCACTCAAAACTAAAACATGACATCAAAGTATCAAATAAAATTGTTTCTCTTTTTCATATTACTTAAGAAAAAACAATTGGAAGACACATAAAACATAATTCTCCTCCTGTTTCAAACAACTACAACCCTGAACAAAATCTTCTTTCATTAATTATATTGACAGAAAAGATAAAACAGAAAAGACTATAAGTTGACCTCAATGCTATATCATTTAACCTAGGAATAGTTAGTCATTTTGAAATTCTATCCCAGGCCAGTAGCTCTTTTGAATTCTACTGTATAGTGCAGTGTGGGTGAGGTTTTGGGGGTTTCGGTTCAATGTGTGGAGTGTGAAGGATGTGTGTTTGTGTTTATTTTCATGGTCATGATGTGCACTGAAGATGGTGTTTGATTTCGTTGTAGGAGGTGCAATGACAATTAAGTAAACTAAACCAAACCAAATAAAGATAAAATGGACAGTGTCTCTGGTCAGACAAAATACACATTGATTATATGGTGATATTCAACACAAGCATGTATATAAAATACAAACCAATAATATCCATATGGTAAACTGCAAGAATTGTAATTTAGTTTCATCCTTCAAAATAAGGATGCCTTACTTCTTCCTCACAAACTGGATAACATAATGATATAAAAATGTATAATATACTTTAACTGGACTTGATATAAGTTTTATTAATTCCATATGCAAAAAAAGAAAAAGAAAAGAAAAAGAAAAAACAATTTCAATCTCGGAGGCTTTCTGGCTTTCTTACTATGCATTTCATCCAGAAAAAATGGTTTTTATAACTGTTTTTCTTTTATATTCATGACACAACATGTCTAACACTGAAACCTTACTTTCACAGTCAACTAAATATATGTTAGAAATTAATAAGATCAGTTCTTCTGCATGCCTAAAGCAACATTCCTGTGGATACACTTCATAAATCACACATCAAACATATCTTACTTTTATATACTGTATGAAAAATGACAGATTTATCTATAGGAGGGGGAGAAACTATAAGATGAAATAAATAAAATTTGAAACAGGAAACACCATTTCCTAAACTCTTATGATTTAAGACTTTGTAAATCTTTAATTTTTAAAAAAAGATACTTCATAATACATAGGCATACATTCAAGGGACCTCTTTATCCAGACTTCCACAGAAAATTTAGGAACTGCTCTCAGCTATCTTTAGAGATTTGAACATGAATAGCCACTCCACTTTGCATTTTTCTCAGCAAAGCACTTATCTTTTCAGGATTATTATAGACACTCTGTTCTGCTTTTTTTTTTAATCGAAGGATCTTGTCTGAAGGATTTCCAAAACTCTACTCTGAACCTGACACTAAGCAAGAAACAAAATGAGTGGATATTTGTCATGGTATTCTACAGTGGTGGGTTTCAAAGGTTTACCACCGGTTCAGTGGGTGTGGCTTGGTGGGCACACTTTGTGAGCACGCAGACTTTTCTACTCACCTCCTGCAATCCCTGTAGCTTCAACAGCTGATGCGCGGCAATCTGTTGTGCCGTGCAAAGCAGCTGAGCTTCAAAAGCAGGGGAAAAAAAGGTCAGTATGGGGGCCCAGGCAGGAGGGTGGGTCCAACAGCAGCTTGTCAGAGAACCAGTTCTGTTTCAGCTGATCTTTGGTGCTACCGGTATGCCAGAACAGAGCCGAACCGGTAGAATAGCACCACTGGTATTCTACCTCTTGACCATTTGACAGAAGTGGGAAAAAAATCAATATTGCTAACTGCAGAGCTGGTATTGTTCCTGGCCCTTATTGGGCCAAGTCAGGGAGTAAGGAATCATATGATTCCCAGAAACTCCTGGACCACATGATTCCTAACCTCACTGCGGCCTGGGTAAGGAAATCTGCAGGACTTCTGCCACTGCATTTGGTAGAGTCCCCCCAACCCACATACACACAGAAAGACATTTTTTTACAAAACAGCATTTCTACCACTACCACAGAATGCTATAAAAAACAGATGTAGTAAATTTAGGATTGTAACCTAAAGCTTATAAACACTATGAAGCCAAATGCACAGTAAATTCCCAAAGACATTTTTTTCATAATTATCAGAGCAGAACAGTGGGTTTTTTTCCCCTACAGGATGAGATGATCTTGAAAAACAATCATGACCGATATAATCAATCAGTAAAAAAAAAAGTAGCAAAAATAACACTGAGAAAGTTTTTCTCCAACTTTTCTATTTGCCAACATTGTTGGATGCAGAATGACACTGAAAGATTATTCCCTATCTTCCAAATACATGTTGTGCAGCAACCACTTACAAATATCTATTTATTTATTTAGATAATTTATATGCATTTATATGCATTTCACAGTAGGTGGTAGGCCAAGATATAAAAAAATTAAAAACAATAGCTCATGACACCCGAGGTAAATGATATTTTCTAGTCCTAAAATCCCAGGCAAGACAGAACTTGCCTAACTTCACCCAGGCCTTCAGAGTTTTATGAAAGGCTAATAGAGTCAGGGCCGGATTAACCATTGGTCTTCTCTATTTTTACTATTAAGGTCTATGATGTTTGAGTGTAACTTTATACAAATAATATATAATTTATACTGTGATACAAGTTAGTTTACAATTAAATACAGACTTTCAGTGTATGTTACACTGAACAAAAGACAATGTATTATTTGGCTTTCTCAATTATTCAGTATACAGCAGCACTGAAAAAAGTGACTTATGACCATTTTTCACACTTATGACCTTTGCAGCATCCCCATGTGATCAAAATTCAGATGCTTGGCAACGGGTTCGTATTTATGACCTTAGCTGCATTCCAGGGTCATGTGATCACGTTTTTTAAGACCTTCTGACAATCAAAGTCAATGGGGAAGCCAGATTTACTTAACAACCAGACTGCTAAGTTATCAACTGCAGTGATTCACTTAGCAACTGTCGCAAGAGAAGTCGTAAAATGGGGCAAAAGTCACTTAACAAATGTCTGACTTAACAACAGAAATTTTGGACTCAATTGTGCTTCTAAGTCAAGGAATACCACACTATAAAAAAGATGTTGAGACTCCAGAAAGGTACAGAGAAGAGCAACCAGGATGATTAGGGAACTGGAAGCTAAAACATATGAAGAATGGTTACAGGAACTGGGCGTGGCTAATCTAGTGAAGAGAACGACCAGGGGAGACATGATAACAGTCCTCCAATATTTGAGGGGCTGCCACAGAGAGGAAGGGGTCAAGTATTTTCTAAAGCGCCTGTAGGCCAGACAAGGAATAATGGATGGAAATTGAACAAGGAGAGATTTAACCTGGAAATAAGGAGAAACTTTCTGACAGTGAGAACAATCAACCATTGGAGCAGCTTGTCCTCGGAAGTTGTGGGAGCGCCATCACCTTCAAGAAGAGATTGGACTGATTAGAGATGTGTCAGAAATGGTGTAGGGTCTCCTGCTTGGGCAAGGGGTTGGACTAGATGACCTACAAGGCCCCTTCCAATTCTGATCATCTGTTATGTGTTATCTGAGTACCTGTATTTTGCTAGCATGTGAAATCAAAGTACTATGCACAAGTACTATCCTGTTAAGATTCCTTTCTTTGGCTTTAGTACATAAACTGATCATTTTCAAGCCACTGTTTGCCAGTTTTGCTGGTTAGAACCTTTTTTTTGGGGGGGGGGGGGTTCATCTGCTTCCCTTTACTCTACAGATATTCCATCAATTCCTGTAGCTTTCCAACTTGCCAATAACCATTATGATCTACTTTTAAGTTCTAGTACTAAGAATGCTTGTAAGGAAATATTTTGGATAATAAGTATCTTGGATGTTGCCATTTCCACCATGCAGCATTTCACTTTACTCCTTCCATCTTTTGTCTTTGAACCAGTTACAATGTGTTCAATCAATAACCATATTAGAAGAGTGTCCTCAAAGTCTCTTTGATAATATTTGTTCACTGACTGCGTTAAACCCAATATTACTATTTTCCTCTTGACTATGGGAGAAGCACTATCTACTGTTTATCTCCCAAACAATAAACAGCATGAAAGTATCTAATTCCAGTAAAGTTCAATGTGCTGAAACTGAAGATAGTAATATGTAGTTGATTTATTTCATCTTCAACTCGGCTGAGCTTTCCCGTGCTCATGCTTCTTACACTCTATGTTCCTGTGTGATTCTCTTTGCAGAATGGATTTTCTTTCCCAGAATGGCAAGATTGGCAGCTATATGCCAAAGATCTTTAATCTAGTCATGTCTTAAATGCCACTGATACTCTGGGAGGATCCTCAATCCTCAGTAGCATGTGGTGGATCTTCCCAAAGCACTAATGGCATTTATGACAAGGATCCCATCATCTGACACAACATCACTGATCACTTTATCTTGTCTACCCATGTGGGTTTTGTTGCTTTCTCCCACGCCCTATAAAATGATGCCTTAACCTTGTCATTCAAATGTTCATCTGCTTGCAGTTTAGTTATATATTGCCGCTTCCTGATATAGGTACCTGCTTACTTTTAGCTGGGTAGCTGAGATTACCTTGATGTCTTGGTTGAATTGGTGGTGAGTATTTACTCTTGATATACACTCCTGGCTTTTTTCATCCTTTCTTCCAGGAGTACCCCCATTTCATCAAAATGAAGCAGCGCTGTAGGTCTTGGGGAGGAAATATGATTTTTACCTCCCCATAAATATGTATCTTTAAACGTATTCTTTTCACTTGTGAAAATCCACTCAATAACCAACTTGAGTTTCTTCTGAAAAGAGCTCAACAAATTTAGTACTTCAGGAATTACCTGCACCGTGGAGCTGATTTCAGATGCAAAACCTCCAGTAACAGGGGCTTCGTGAGTGATGAGTAATCGTCCAGTCTTTGCCACTGACTAAAAAAAAAAAAAAGAGGAAAAAGAAAGAAAGATTTTTAAGATTTATTTATGACACTTTCTGTAACTAAAAAGTGGCATAATGCAGGTAATCTTTGAGTTATGACAGTTCACTTAGCGACTGTTCAAAGTTATGACATAACCACCCCAAGTATTTACAATACAACCCCGAAGTTACGAATGTTGCTGCAGCACAAGAGTCGTTCACACTTATGAACGACCGCAGAGGCATTGCAACATTTGCCCTGCACACACCAGATCCACTGGCACTGGGCCTTTGAAGATTCATTTACGTTGTGGTGATCTAGCGAGCCCTCAGTTCCTTTGCCTACTTTGCTGCATTCACTGAGAACAGAGGTCTAAAGTAGTTCGAGATCACGCAAAATCAGTAGCGCAAGATCTTACACTACTCTTTTCTCTCCACAAGATCTTTTGCCTCCACAAGATCTGTGGCAAAAGCCTTTGCAAACGGAGAGGCCTTACCTCCATTTGCAAAGCCTTCTGCCATGGATCTGGTACAAGCCTTGGTATGCAGAAAACAGAGGCCTAAAGTACTCTGGTGCAAGATCACGTGAGATCACGGCCCCCAGAAGCTTCCAGTCTCAGCACGAAAACTGTATGAAAGCCAATGGGAGGCTTCAAGCGATGCAATTTCGCTGCCCCAAAGTTTCATTGGCTTGCAAACGCTTTTCATGCCGAGACTGCAAACAGGCAAAGAAATTACGGCAGAGAGGCTGGAGAAGAGACAGCTTGCTAAATCTTCAGAAGATAAATGACCCAGTGTGGCAGGATGGGGGGGAACAATTTTGGGGATCCCAGGGGAGGGAGCATGAGGTACCTGACTGGGTCGGGGGAAGCCTTGGGTGGACTAAAGCAGGTGGCCTGTTCCTTCGCCAGGCCCCCTCCCATGACCTTCCCCACCGAGATAGCTCATGCGCACTCAACGACCCGCGCATTCGATTAGCAAATGTGTGGGCAAAAGCAGGAAGAAATCACATTTGTTTCATGTGATTCACTTCAATGAATCCTTGGGTTATGAATGTAATTTGCAGGCTCCATTACTTTCATTACTCGAGGATTACCTATATTTGCCTCTTAAAGGCACACTTAAGTTATTCTGAAGTCCTGGCAATCCAAATTGATGACAGTAACTATAGAAAGTATTTGGGTTGGGAACAAATTGTTCAGCAAGCCATGATATCAGTTATACACGCTTTATTAATATAATGAGATAAATAACAATTTAATAACTATTCAACTTTTCAGAAGCAATGTGTGCAACTTTTTTGAGTTCTATGTTATACTGTTTATATTTTGAAAATACGAATACATTAAACAAGTTTTTAATGCCAAATAAAATATAAGAATATTATCATTAGAATATTAATATACACCAAATACTTTTAGATTATGAAAACTCATGCTTACATTACTGTATATATGTATGTGTGTATATGTATATGTGTGTGTGTGTGTGTGTGTGTGTGTGTGTGTGTGTGTGTAGGTCTAGGTGTGTTCGGGTCTTTTCCCATGTAAGATTATGGGAAAAGATAATCTTACATGGGAAAAGACCCGAACACACCGAGACCTACATACCTGTACCTGTGAAAATCTACGAAAACAAATATGTGTGTGTGTGTGTGTGTGTGTGTGTGTGTTTTCTTAAGTTTTCGTGGGTATTTATATGTATGGTATTCAGTTTTGTTCGGGTATTTTCCCACGTCATTATAGTTGTGCTTTTAAAGTTGTAGCGACGTTTCAGCAGAATCTCATCTGCCATCATCAGGCTTGTGTATTGGGTTCGTCTGTGTGTCAGGCCCTACATAAGAGGTACTACAGACAAAATCAGTAAGATACTACACAGGCATCACATCAAGACTGCCTTCAAAATAAACAGAAAAATAGCAGCCATCTTAAGAAACCCCAAAGATAAAATTGACCTGGAAAACCAAGGCGTATATGAACTCCCCTGCACATCATGCCCTGCCACATACATCGGACAGACCAATAGCAGAATAAGTACCCGCCTGGATGAACACCAAAATGCAGTAAAAAAGCTGGAACATACTTCCTCGCTAGTCCAACATATGATAGTCATAGCATCGACTTCAATGGCACCAAAACCCTTGCCACTATAGAGAACCCCAGCCACAGAATTATCAGAGAAGCCATAGAGATTGAAAAAAGACCTGAAAGCATGAATAGAAGAGATGACTCAACCAGACTGTCAATTATCTGGAAGCCTGCACTCACAAACAAAAAAATCTCCACACCACAAATCAAGCAAACACCTGGGCACAAACAGAGCCCCCCGATACCTCCAGCCCAAAGACACCCCAACCAGCCGCCCAGATGAAACCTAGCTTCCTAATAAACGATAGCCAGCCATTCACCTGAAGCCAAGCTGCACTAAAAGCCCCCAATACACAAAACACAATGTTGCCAGCCAATCAAGCCAAAAAAAACCTGCCACAAAACAGATAGAAGATATTAGAAACACCAATCAAGCAGAACACAGCAAACTCCAAGACCAATAAACACAGACCAAGACTCCCAACCAATCAGGATGAAGAAAAAACCATTCTAACACAGCACGAGGCTAGCACCAAATTTAAAACAGAAACAGCTGTGAAAGCCTGACACACAGATGAACCCAATACAGAAGCCTGATGATGGCAGATGAGATTCTGTCGAAACGTCGCTACAACTTTAAAAGCACAACTATAATGACATGGGAAAATACCCGAACAAAGCTGAATACCATACACACACGCACGCGCACGCACACGCACACACACACACACACAAACTATTATATAAAGGACTTGATCAACACAATTTGCCCAATGCTAATAGTATTTATTTTCACATAATCAAATATTATTTTATTATTATTTTTAAAGTGCTCTAAAGCTCTTAAAACTAAAGCCAAAAGGCTCTATATTATTTACTTATTTTTAAAAAAGCGTTTTTCCATAGCAACTTACAACAATCTAAACCCACATAAAACATTGAAACAGTATGAATATACAGTATAAGACAATAAAACAATAAAAATAACAGCCAAAATGAATATTTCTAGACAACAGTGTGTTCAAAATCAACACAATGATTTAAATGCTCACCCGGGGGGGGGGGAGCTTTTATCAGTAAAAGGCATTTCAGGGGCAGGCAAAAGAGACAGGAAAAGCCCATTCTCTGATAGCTGCTGTCCTCATCTCAGTATAGGTAGACACCCAGAGAAGGTGAAGATTATGTTAGATTGCCAATAAGAACACACTGTCAAATATTATAGTAGTCCTAAGCAGTGAAGGGCTTTATAGATTAATACAACCACCCTAACAAAAGCCAGAAATGAAATGGAAGCCAATGAAGAATGTTCAAGACTAGAGTAATATATTCACCATACGCAGTTCTAGTTAAATAATTCATAAGCAGAATCTAAAGTTGGCCATGAACACAAGTCTCAATGGGTTTTTTTAACAAAAAAAGAAACAAAAACATTCAAACATGTGTTTTATCTGGCTTTTTATAATGGAACAAATAGGCCCACATACAGCTCTTCCCAGGTGTGATGTCCTTATCAGATGTTCAACAACATATAGATGATTCTACTGCTTAAGATTAAGCGAAGCAAATTAATTCCAAATTGCATTAAGCAATTTTGTGCGTGCAAGAACTAAAATGACACATTATATCTTTCATTGTAGAAGAGTTCAAATATTCTAAAATAGTTATAGTTACAACCTTTTCTTCAAATTCATTGGAACATATTAAATTCCTCCCTAACCCATATGTATGGCTAGAAATAGCATATCTGGAAGACCAAGCATCTCATTTCAACTAACTACAAAATAATAAAGTGTATATTGCAAGGATAAAGACTCCCTCAAGTCAAATTCAACTCCTGTTGAGTGCATATACAACACATTAATCTTATTCTCAAGTTGGAGCACTGACAAGTTCAAAGCTCTGACTGGCAATAAACTGGCTGGACCAGAAGATAAAAGAATTAGTCTCCTGTTTTATGTTTTATTTGGTAACCTCGCCAGCCAAGCAACCGGTAATTTTCCTCCTGATGGAACGTATGGATAGAAGTTAGAAGCTATATAGAGCTACCTTCTGGAAAGTTGGGAAATTTAAATTTATTATTTCACAAAGCAAGATTCAGAATGTGGCAACTACAGATTTTGCTTTTGACTAATTTTGCCTTACTCAATATGTCTTGATAGACTTAACAGATTTAAACATACAATTGTTACAATGTGGTAACTAACCAACTTATGGACAGTTTATGAATGATAAAACATTCCTGTCCTCTAGAGGAAAAATACCTTTCCAAGTCATGAAAAACAGCATGTAAATTGTGTGTATGTGGGAAGGGAGAATTTAACCTAGACTTCATAAGATTCATAAGTTCATGGTTTTTTTCCCTTATCACAGACTGGCATTTATAGAATTAGTTTTAAATATTCACACATTCCCTCAATGTTTATAAAAAAAACCAAGTCTAAATCTATAACTTGTTCAATAGAGAGAAACAGTACAATTTATTCAATAAAAATGTAAAAATTGTCCCAAAACCAGATATTAAAGTAATTGCCTACAGCAATCTGAACCTAATCCTTATGCTGCAATTCTTAACACATTTACTTGAGATTAACCTCCAGTGAACTCTAGAGTTTACTTCTGAAAAGCACAGATAACACCGGTTTGTCAGAACTTGCAAAGCACGCCCCAAAAGAGTTAAATTATATGTATGATTTAAATATAGCCAGGACTTAATGGGCAACCAGAACAGAGGTGCAAGTTAATTTCATTAATACTATTTCTTAATATCAAACCATCCACCCATCCAACAGAATTAGGAATCCCAGCACCCATATTACCTCAGTGATTACAATTCTAAGTAATAATATACACAGAAAAATTTATAAGGAAAAATTTGCACTCATAGTTCATGAATTGGAATGTAATCCAATCCTTTGAAGTTCTATAGA